GGGCATTGGAGGAGTATTCAGGAATGAAGTGGGCAGAATTTTAGCCAGTGTTTTTGGGCTTGATTGGTGTAGGGGACTCACTTAGAGATGAGGTGGTGACAGCTCTGGAAGGAGTGCAAAGGGCTAAGGAGCTCAACATTCAAAAATTGATAGTTAAAGGTGATTCAAAGTTGATGATTGGTTGCAAAAGGAGGAAGCTGGCTTACAGTGCTACCTTAATGATAGGAAGAAGTTTAAGTGGCTGACATAAAATATGGAAATAAGGTTGCAATGGGTTAAAAGGACTGCTAACTTGTTTATAGTTGCACTTGCAAATGTGGGGAGGGATCTTTTGTTTTGGGCTATCGTGTAATCACTTTTTTTGGGGAGAGCTAAAGGCTCGTTTGGTTCGCGGGAATTGGTCTGGAATCGGAATCTGAATGGCCATTCCGATTCCAACTACTTGGTTGCAGGGAATCGGAATCCCATTCCCATTCCTAGTGGAATGGCATTCCCCCATTTGAGGGAATGATCATTCCCTCCCCCCCTCCCTTGGTAATGACATTCCATTCCAACTCCTGTCTGGACCAAACAGACTAAGAGAGTTTATCTCTCCTCCATTCTGATTTACCTTGCTTAATTTTAAATTTTTAATGAATTTTCACAGTTAATTAAAAACAAAAAGTATTTTCTAACCCTAAAGAATTATTCCTAGGCCTATGAATTGTTGAGTTTTTCTTATTCTTTTCATCTTCCCTTATTGTCCGTTCCAGTTATTCATAGTTAGGTGGTGCTTGGTAACATTGTACTGACCTTTGACTCTTTTTTATTTTTTATTTTTTTTGCTGTTCAGAGGTTAGATGGTTCATGGTTGTTCGGTTAAACTGAACATACCTCTGGATTCTGAAAATTCCTCCTAAATTCTCAGAGCATGACTAACCTCTAAATAAATTCATCACTAAATTGAAATATCGATTAAACAATATTGTCTTTTAACAACCCCAAATATAATGTAATGTAAAAATTATGTATTGTACGCTATGATATGTTTAGATATAAAATAAAATATTTTATACTAAAAGCAATATACAATATTATAATCAAGAATAATGTATTATCATATATTTATGCAATATAACATATAAATATCTTTATATGCTCTAAATCATTAATATTATATTATTTTAGAATAATAAATAATATTTTTAATATATTTTATAGCTGACCCCCTAGGATAAGGCATGGATGATGATGGTGATTTTTAATATATTTTATAGTATTATATTAAATCCAATATAGAATCAACATCATCATCCAAGCCTTATCCCATATGGGGTTGGCTACATTAATCCTGTTTTGCCATTCTGTTTTGTTTAATGTCATCCATTGTTAAATCTTTTTTTATATTTTTTGTCAAGTATTTATTTTTGACAATTGAAAAGAAAACTTTATTATGAAAATATGGGAACTGTTACAAGTAGCCCAAAGAGAGGCATGAGGTGTTACCTCCCTTGGAAGTGTAAAATATAACGGAGCACTAATAATAAACCATTACAAGGTAGCCCAG